TCTCACCAGTGCCAGGGTTTTCATAGGAGGCGGGCAATACCCCCACTTTGTGGGGGGGCCGGTTCAAGCTCTACCAAATTTCCAAACGACTCTTCGCCACCACCCACACCCAGCTTCCCGCCCTATGACGTTCGGACACTTCACTTCGTGGCATGCGGACGACCGTGGCTACTATTCAGGGCCCCGCGGCCGACGACGACGGCGTGCGCGCGCGAAGAAAAAACGAATGTGTCCCGCATGGTATTATTTGACAGGGATGATGGCCCTGGCAGGTGCGCAACCGTTGTTGCAGAAGTTCGAAAAAGTTGCTCGCAAAAGCCCGTTTGACAGAAATGTTTAAAAAGTGTTGGGTTTCCTACGAATCCGCAAGAGCGCGCGGGATGAAATTTTGACATTTTTTTTGAAAAACCATTGGTTTTTTGATGTTTTTATGTTAAAATCGCTACGAAAACTAAGGTTTTGGAAGGATTTCGTCTTGCGCGCGCGAATGTCCACTTTACCTTATTTTTTGCAAGGGATTCTTGAAGTTTGGTTATGTTAGAACAAGAAATGTCCACTTTAGCTTATTTTTTGCAAGGGAAAACCGATCGTAACAACACAACCGGATCCGGACCAACCCGTTTTGCCTGAGACTTCCTCACGAAAATGATGAAAATGAGGCTGCGGCCTAGGCGCGGCGGGGGGGTCGTGCACCAGGGGCCCCAACAATAATTATTCTTTAGAAGTAATAATGTTCAACAACACCAACAACAACAACAACAACAACAACAACAACAACACCAACACCAACACCAACACCAACACCAACACCAGCAACAACAACGCAACAAGTATAACCCTCACCACAGATCGCCACTAGAACCACGCACCAAAGGACAATGAATGACCGTTCGCCCCCCTCACTCTGATGTATGTATGTTTGTTTGTATGTCTGTATGTTTGGATGTATGTATGCATGCATGCATGTATGTATGACTGTCTGTATGTATGTATGGATGCATGTGTGTATGTATGTATGTCTGTCTGTATGTATGTATGTACATGCGTACGTACGTACGTACGTAGGTACGTGTGTGTATGTACGTAGCACCCCGCAATTGCGGATAAGAGTGAGGGGGCTGGCGCGGGCGACGCGGGCGTCGTCAAGCCGGCGGACCTCTTGGCCCCCACCTTCCCTGTCGATGGCGCTCTCCTCCTCCTCCTCCTCCTCCTCCTCCTCCTCCTCCTCCGCCTCCTCCTCCTCCTCCTCTTCCTCGTCCTCGTCCTCGTCGTCATCGTCGTCCTCTCCTCCTCCTCCTCCTCTTCTTCCTCGTCATTCCTCTCCCCCCCTCGTCCTTCCATCATCGTCCTCCCATTGTCGCATGTTCCTCCTCCTCGTCCTCCTCCTCTTCCCCCCCTCCCGATCCTCCCCCCTCCTCCTTTTCGTCGTCGTCGACGTCGACGTCGTCGTCGTCGTCGTCCCCTTCCTCCTCCTCCTCCTCCTCCTCCTCCTCCTCCTCCTCCTCCTCCACCTCCTTCTGCAAAAGCAGCCCGCCGCAGGCGCCGGAAAAAATGGTTTGTACACTGAACGTGGCTTGGGTCGCGGGTGGGCCGCGGGTTCTCCACCGGGAGCGAATGCACAATATGCCCGCCGCAGGAGCCGAACAATTTGGTTTGTACCCTGAACGTGGTCGCGGGTGGGGCGCGGTCTCTCCACCTAGAACGAATGCAAAAGATACCCGCCGCACGTGGCTTGGGTCGCGGGTGGGCCGCGGGTTCTCCACCGGGAGCGAATGCAAAAGATGCCCGCCGCAGGCGCCGAACAATTTGGTTTGTACCCTGAACGTGGTCGCGGGTGGGGCGCGGTCTCTCCACCTAGAACGAATGCAAAAGATGCCCGCCGCAGGCGCCGAAAAATGTGGGTGATCTGTGCCCGCGGCCGCGATCCGCAACAGTGAAGCCCGAAAATCAACGCGGGCCCCTAAAGCAACGCTTTCGAGGTCCTGGAATCACGCGCGTAAGCTCTGTCCAGCAATTCCTTTTCCTATGAAGCGGGCCAGCTGGCCCTAATCGGACATCCGCACTCCGAGCATGTGCGGGGGGGGGAGGACATAGTATTACTGAGACACGAGCGTGCAAACGTACAACCGCCTCGGTCCAGAATGTTGGATGGAGAGAGAAAGGGAAACGAACTCGTTTTTCGCTTCACGGCTCAAGTGATCCTGGCATGAACTTTCCATCTCCACTGAGCCCCTTCACTTTTGCCGCCCATCGCTCTCCAGCCACACGCCTGGCCGTCTTCGCCGTCTCCTCGCGAAACTCGATACTCCACGTGCCGCGTGCAAACGTCTCTCGAAGGTGGTCCGCTGGCATATCCTTGTCAGCGCGTCACTCAGCATGTTAGTCCCGTCCGTCCAGCGCACCATCGTCTGAGGTCGATCCAATATCTCCCGCATGCTGGCCAACCCCAGGTTCACCGACTTCTGCGCCGAGCATCCCACTCCAGCGTCCGAGTTGAGCCTGTCACGTCCGCCCTTGCTGCCCATCGCTACCGCCATGGGCACCTGCCAGCCGGGCAACCTCACGCCCGCGCCCCTTGCCGCCGGGCCGTGCAACATCTCCGCAATCTGGTCACGAATGCCTTGTGCTGCGTCCACAGCGTCTCCCGCGGAAATCACCTCCGCCGCGTAGGAGCTCCTCGCCGCACGCTTGAACTTGTGGCTCTTGCCCTCCATCATCGAGAACATGCCCGCACCGCCGTGCACGAGCTCGCAGTCCGCGAACAGGATGAGGACTTCACCCTGAGTGCCGATCTTCTCCGTAGCAGGGCGCGCGGCCTCATCGCTCATCGCGTTGCCCGCCGGGCCGAACCGCTTGAGGTCGATCGGCCGCGTCGCAATCTCGAATATCGAGTCGCGCTTCAGCTCTCTTAGGACCTGGTTCGCCCTAAGCTAGGCTGACACCCGAGGCCCCTTCTTGCGGCCCTTCTCGCGCTGCAGCACCGCCAGGTCGTGCGAGTAGCAACCCGCAGCTTCGTCACAAGCCAGTTGATATTGCCAACCACCTGCTGGCACTGTTCCAATCCGTCGCGTTCATCGGCAGGCGCGCCGACGAGCGCCGATTCCCGGGCACAATCGTGAGCTCCACTGCAGGAGTGGGCGCTACTACTCGAGCCAGCCAGCTCGTCGCCACGAGTACCTCGAACGTTCGCTGGGCGTCTGCCCCCTCGGACTTCTGATCGTCGAGAAACATCTCCGCCGTCGGCATCGGGCGCATATCTAGGTAGTTCCGCCCACGCATACTGCAGCGCACGTCTCTGTCGTCGCCCAGGTACTTGCAGTCTTTGCACCATGGCGTCGTTGCCAAATTCCCGAGATCGAACGCGTCCTTCGGGATAGTCACCTGCTGCGCGTCGCGAGCCTCTGGCGTGTCCAGCAGGTCCACCACCATCGCGCCCCGCGGTTTGAGCCTCTGCTGCAGCTGCTTCTTGGCCTGCTCGGCCTTCCACTCCTTGGGCTTGGGGCAGCACGCATCACCTGCCCAGTGGCCTTCTCTGCGCAGGTGCGGCAGCCCGAGTTAATCTTATCCGCGTTGCCGCCGCCGCCGCCTTTGCCGCCGAACTTGCGATCCTTTCGCAGCTCCCTGACGCGCTTCTTGCTCTCGCGCACCGTGATGAGGCCCTCCATCATGGACTCCGCGCCGCTCTCCAGATTGCCGAGCTCCTGGGCCAGCCCGAAATCGTGCTCCGCTTCCTCGAGCGCCGTCGAGAGCGCCTCCAGCTCCGCGGCGAGGATGCCCTCAGTGTCGCGGTCCTGCTCCGTCGTTAAAGCCTCCCCCGTGTTATCGTCGTCGGCGTCTCCGTCGAAGCTGCCGAACTCCGCGTTCAGCGCCTCGACCTCGCCGTCATCTAACTGGCTGGGCCCTTCCAGATCCTCCGTCACGTGTGCCTCCTTGAACTTCCACATCACCTTCTTCTTCAACATCTGATTCCCGGGTCTGTTGAAGATGATCGGCCGTCGCCCTCTGCAGCCGCCGCTTCGTCTTGGTCGTCGTCACGCACCCACGTCCAGGCCTTCGCGCGCAGCTCGACCATCGGGATGGACTCGCCGAGCGTCTTGGCCGGGCCCGTCAGGCACCGAACCACTCGGGCTGCCCAGCTCCAACTCACGTGATACCCTCAATACACAGCGCCGCGTCCTTCTTGTATCGCCGCCACCGTCCGGGGCTGCCGTCCCACGTCAGTATGCCTTCCAGGTCGCGGCTCGTCCACGCTGGCGCTGACACCCACCTCGTTGACTTTCTCTCTTGCCAGGTGCCTCCTCCGCCTTCGCTCGGCCGCGGAAGAAGGGCGTCCGGGCTGAGCGCGCCGCCGCCCATCGCCGGGAATCGCCCTGGAGTCGACGCATACCGCATCGTTCCTCGTCGTCGTAGTGCGTGTACACGATCTGGTAGAAACCGCACTTCTCCTTGTCGCCGCCCTTGTCCGAACCGATCTCTCTTGGCAGCTGCTTGCTCTCCGTGTTGCTTGGCGCGCCTCAGCGCTCCGCTACCACTGCAGAACCGAAAGATTCAGAAGCCTGGCCTCCCCGGGAACCGCAGCGGGGTCTGGCGGCGGGGCGCGGCAGCGCCCGAGAGGCCGGCAATCATTCTCCAACTCGCGCTCACGCCTCTGTTGCGCAAATCGTCTCAAGCCGGCTCAAATAGTTCGAGCCGAATCAATTGCGGTGAAACGACGGGGACATGAGAGGGCACAATAGGGGACAACAAGGGCAACTGAGGGGTCTAAGGGCAGAGCAGGGGACATATCCAATCCGAGGGGCAAGATTTTCCTCAAGGCTTTTCAGAAGCACCCTGCTTTTTAGAAGGCGCGGGCCTGACAGATATCTGTAGACAAGGCCCGCGCCTTCTAAGAAGCAGGGGTGTTTCTGAGAAGCCTTCCCCCCTCCCCCTACCCCCCCCTGCGCGTGGCCGAGTCTCGACAAGAGGAGAAACGCGGACCCCTGGGCGTAGGGGGCGCCCGCCTCGACGGCGTAGCCCAGCCTTCGCCAGACCGCCAGTGCTCGCCTGGCCCGCCAGGGGGGACCGTCCCAGCCAGCGAGGTTCGAGAATCGAGGACCGAGGAGGATCGAGGATCGAGAATCCACAAGGATCGAGGATCGAGAAGGATCAAGATTGAGGATCGAGAAGGATCGAGAAGGATCGCGGATCGAGGAGGATCGAGGAGGACTGAGGGAAGGAGGAGGAGAACCGAGAGAAGGATCGAGGATCGAGGTCCGCGACATGATCGCGGCCCGTTCTGCTGTTCCAGTTTTGTGGTCGCAAGGAGGTGCTTCCCGTTGGTGTTGCTCTCGTCGTGCCTGGACAGCTCCCATGGTTGTGTGAGCGTGCTCGACCGCGCAACCGAGCTTCCCCCGCTCTGCTTGCGCCTGCCTCCTCTGCGGCTCCTCGCCTTGGCGGGAACATCCCGTTCCGAGACTCTGGTCGGAGCGCGCTCCAGGGAGGGGTCCGCGGGCAACCTCGTGGAACCCCGAATCCAAACACTCGGCGCCTCGAGCAGATGGAGGGGGGGCGGTCTGCGGCTACGCCTGGCAGCCGGGGGCCACTGTGGGGCCCCGCGGGGCAAGCAGAAACGGCTCGGAGTCCGCGAGGCCCGTGGGCCCTGGCACGAGCCTCCGGTCGGGCATGGCCTCCCACGGGCGGATTTTGGAAGAAGAGGGAGGAGCAGTCAGAAAATATCAAAAAATCGTGTAGCATAGTCCAAGCATCGTCCCCAGGGAAATTCTCTACTATTTTTGAAAAGTCCTCCTGTAGAGGGACACGCCCGACTTCACACGAGCCCACTTTCATGATTCTCGGAAAACGTCCGTGACCGGCCCGCTCCCGCTTCCCGCGCCCCTTGTCGCGTCAAGATTCGAGTCAGGGCCGTGTGTGAATTCGCCTCTCCTACGCATTCCCCGACGACGCTGGCGCGAATCGTGACGTTACCAGTCCCCTCCCGCCCTCCCCCCGATCACGACCGCTATCGCCGAGGAGAGAAACAAGAAACGCTCGCTAGAAAGCGGCTCGGGACGAGAAACTGCCCTGAAGGAAGGGGCTCACTGAGTCCGTCAGCCCTCGCAGCGAGCAAGGATCGACGCGCCCAGATGTCCAGGGCGGCCAGCGCATGGGTCTTCCTCCGGCGCCGCAGTGGGAGGGTAGCCGCGGGTGCATCCGGGGCGGGCCGCGCTGCCAGGAAGGATCTGATCGTGGAGATTCGCGCATGACGGCGTGTGCTGGTCGTGGTGTTCAGCAGGTGCGCACACAGGGTTCGGAAACAACTCCTGGGAGGCCTCTGTAAGAGCTGTTGAACGCTGTCAAACCAGGGGGGCCATTACGCTGGACTCGGCCAAATTAGGCCCAAGATTAAGCCTGGAGGCTGGCTGAGCTGGATTAAACGGGAGTAAGCGGCAATAGCTTGAACTTAGCCATTTGAAACATGCATTTTACAACGGATAGACCAGCACCGATGTTCATTGCAGACCCCGGGAGCGGCAGTCGAACACAGGGCACAACCAACATGTCCTCTGCAGGGCGTTCGGGGGCGGCCCTCGTCACCACGGCTGGAGCCGCCTCGGGATCCTGGTCGGAGCGCGCTCCGGGTGACTGGCGCCGACAACGGAAACGGAGCTGTTTGGCCTTGCTCCGTCGCAGAAGGCCGAGGCAGGAGGGTGGGGATGAGGTGGGAGACGGAGAAGAACAAGCAAGACACGTCAGAGGACGGCAAAGAGAAGGTAAAGGATGAGGGGGCGAAGGAGGAGGAGCAAGGAAGGTAACAAAAGCAGTAAAAGGCGTGTTGGGGAGGCAGGAGCGGGGGCGGGCTCCAGACCCAACAACTAAAACTGGAATGCCCCTGCGGGGAGGTCTGCCTGCTGGGGGCCCTGGCGTTGCTGACGCTGACATCCGCCAGCGGGCCCGGCGGTGACAGCGCCGCCGCCGTCCCAGTGGACCCACAATCCGTGCGGGACCTTCGTTCTGACACGATATTGCTCTCTGACCTTCGAGTTGTTATAAAAAAATGCGGGGGGGTGGGAGGAGGAGGAGGAGGAGGAGGAGGAGGAGAAGGAGGAGGAGGAGGAGGAGGGAGGAAAGAGGAGGGAGGAGGGAGGAGGGAGGAGGAGGGAGGAGGAGGAGCCCTCCTGAAAACATCGGCACCGAACGAGTTCGTGCCACAGCTGGCCACACCACCGCACGGCGCACCTCGGTTCCTCCAAGGGCCGTTTCTTCATCGGAGGGGGCAGACAATGGCGGACATGTCCAGCACCCCGAGGCGGAGCTCGGCAAAAAGGAAGCCGAGGGAAGGAGGGACAAAAACGGGAAGGGCCGAGGGAGGAGAAGCGAAGGGAGACACGGAAGAGAGGAGCCTAGGAGGCAAATTGGCGAAACCAGAACAAAGGACGCGCCAAATGCGCGCCGACGGCGCGACTCCCTACGAATACAATATCAAACTGGTCGGCGTGCGGCATGTTCTAATCCAATCGAAAGATTGCCTGCTACGTTTTCGATTTCTACATCCCCGTGCCCACTCCACTTGACAATGGAATGTCAGATCTCTTTTGACGGCCATCCTGCTCACAGTCCGTTAGCAGTACAAACCAAGCCTCAACCTCAAGAGAGTATCCGACCTCTGCATCAGATGTGTCAGCAAACCTATGATCTGCATCGTCGGCGTGTTCTGGCCGCTCTGTTGCGCGGTTGCGTAGGTCTCCTCGGTCGGCTTCACCTCGGGACAGCTTCGTGCACTTCCATACCAAAAAGGAACGTGGCGAACATTGTTCGAAACTGTTCGAAGCAATCGTCGTATCCAATTGATGCAATCAACTCCTCGTAGTATCCATCCGCGTCCATATGCTGCTCATACTGTGCTGTTTGAACAGTATCGTGCAAGTCCTGCGCCGTAGCTTTTGAGTCGGCGTTCCACGATCGATATTTGGTGCCACCCTGTGAGAACTCCAATGGACACCCACTGCGTGAGTGCGTCGAGTATTCGCAAGCAGTTTCCTAAAGTGGCCGCATCTCATGCGTTGTGAGCCCGTCTCCTTTACAACGCTCACGGCCCGCTGCTAGAACAAACATCAAATCAATCGCTTTGCCTTGCTCGACGTCCTGGATTCGTTGTGCGTCCTTTTGAACCACTCTTGAGCATTCTTTGGAATCTGTGTCAATGCAAATCCCATCTGGCACAAGACACACGTCACCACATGTACTGACAGCAGGTGGGAGAATCGGCCCTCCGTTCTTCCAGATGGCACGACTCGCCCGTCTCACCAACATCACCCTGCAACTCTTCGCGGCCAGTAGGAGGGCGAGGGAAAATGGCTCTTCGCTCAAACGGCGGCAACATTTGATGCTGGGCATGTTCGTCATGTGTGTTGCTTCTGGCGTTGACCGATTGCGGCCATATACACATTCTCGTCCGTTCAACGTGGCGGGCATGAGCGTGTTCTGTCCTCGTGCGGCGCCTCCTGCTCGCTGGCATGACTTCCCCAGGGGTCGAACCGTCGAGTTGCGGCACTGCGAGGAGAGACAATCCCGCGACATCGATGCACGACACAGGGCCCCCCCGGCTTCCCCGAGGTCCGATAGGCAGCGAGCTGGGCCCCAGGGAAGTCGCGGGAGGAAGTTCGGTTTGCTTCCTGCGGGTCGGTTGCGGCTCACTGCAAGCCTCACGACGACCTAGTAAGGGAGGAGGAGAAGGAGGAGAGAAGGAAGGGAGAGAAAGAGGAGGACGACGGCGATGGAAACTGGAGGGCAAGAGGGAGAACGAGGGAGCTCAGGAAGAGCAGCGGGAGGAGGAGGAAGTAGAAGGAAAGGACAAGGGGGGATGAGGAAGAGGAGCGGAAGTACACGAAGGGAAAGGCTGGAGAGGCGGGGGGAAGCGGAAAAGGAGGGAAGAGGAGAGGGAGAACAGGAAGAGGAGGGGAGGCGGGGGAGCTGCAAGAGGGTGCCAACGCTTGCATGCTGCCCCCCATTTGGCGAAGAAGCCCTGCCAGCGCGCAGGAAGACCACTGACGAGGCCCGTCGTCATCCCTGGTAGGACGCTCTTCCTCACGCCCCACCGCTCCTCTGACTCCCTCACCTCCTCGCTCCTCATGCTCCTGCTCCTGCTCCTCCTCCTCCTCCTCCTCCTGTCCTCCTCCTCCTCCTCCCCCCCCCCCGCCCAGCTCCGTATTCTCCTCATCCAGTCGATCGACGACTCCTCCCTCCCACCCCCTACCAAGCCTCTTCATCCCTCCAACATCCCCTCTTTTCCTCATCATGTTGCGCTTCCGATGCACCCCCGATGCCCTTTCCCTGCCTCTTGCAACACTGTGCCTCCACCTTCCTCCTCCTCATCCTCCTGCCGCATTTCTTCCTCTTTCCACCCCTCCTCCCTCCCCCATCCTCTGCCTCCTCCTCCTCTCTTTCCTCCCGCCCCCGCGGCCGATCCTGCTGCTCTCTGCCAGCGTTCCTAGCCACTCCTGCTGCTGTCCTCCAAAAGACCACAGCTTATGTGCACGTGAATCACAAAATTGTACTCGTGGAAGCCATCGCACAGGGCCTTTCCGAGGGAGGCAATCTCGGACCTCTGTGTTTTCCTTTGTACATAGACGAACTCTCGTACGCCCTCGTGGACGCTGGACTTGGGGTGGGCCTTGGAGGGACCATCCGCGCGCAATGGCAGGACAATGAATGGTCATGCACAGGGACTCCGGTGGAGGTGTGGTCTAGGCAGTTCCTGGTGGATAGGGGGAAGCGCGCGTTGGCATCGCAAGCCCGCATGAATGCCCTTCCGGATCTGGAGGCCTCGGCCTTGCACGCGCTGGATTGGGTAATTCCCTGGAGGCTTCCGGCAGTACTACACGCGGGCGAACCGGTGCTTCTGACCAGCAGCAGAGGAGACGCGCAGAAAGATTCGGGGGCTCTCGCAGCGTGGGCTTGCAAGCACAAGGCCAACCCTTCGCACCAAGACCACCAAGCACGCAGCCGCGTGTCGGGGGGCCGCAAGTCCCTCCAGGCCGCGCAGGAGGAGCCCCCGGTCCTTGCGC